TGTGTGTGTGTGTGTGTGTGTGTGTGTGTGTGTGTGTGTGTGTGTGTGTGTGTGTGGTGGCGGCAAAGATAATTGGTTCTTATTGAGAGTCAATGAATCCTGACCTGTGATCTTTCTCTTATATTGGTCGTAACTTATTTTCTCTTTGGATGCTTCAGTGTCAAAGCTCGTGGTGGGAGCTCTCAGCGGCAGCACCAATCAGCAGCTAAGGATCTAACACAGTCTCCTGAAGTTTCCTCCCCAACAACTATCCAGGTCACCTATCTGCCCTCCAGCCAGAAGAGTAAAAGAGCCAAGCACTTCCTAGAGCTGAAGAGTTTTAAGGATAACTACAACACACTAGAGAGCACCCTCTGACTGAATTTGGGGATAGCCATAGCCAACATAGCTCCAATAGGAGAATCCAGTCTGTACCCAGGAATCTCTTCAGGGCAAGAGACACAGCAGCACTGGACAGCATTGATAGCATTATGCCCAGAATTCTTGAAATGTGTGTCTGGAGATCATTCCTTAGCTTATCCCTGTGGTCTGTTGAACTACAGTTCCATGAGGCTCTCTTTCCCTCTCCAATAGATTTTTTAATGGAGTTGAATCCACATATTTTTCTTCTCTTCGTGTCATTTCCTCCTTACCCCAACTTGTTTTCGATCATGGTTATTTTTTGCCTTCTCCCAAAGTCAGTTTTATCCTAAATAGATTAGTGGGAGTGGGGGAGGGGGCATTTATGATGTTAGAAATGGAAACCACAGAGCCCCCTATCTTACCCACTCAGGTGGGGACTCTAGCCCACAGACATGTCATTTAAAGTTGTGGAGTAAAAAAGGCAGAAGAGAACTAGGGTATTGTACTTCAGCCAAGCCTTGTTGAGATTTGTGTTGTGTTTCATGCACTGCCTTGCCCTTCTCTTCACATACTGTATAGAACAAGATGTGACTGAGGGAAACTGTCAGTGATATAGGCACTAATTCCATATTCCCCCAATAAGTCACTGCACTGGTCTGACTTTATAAACCGGTTATTTAATAAAAACAGCTGTAAAAATAAGCATATTATTACTGTTCTTTACTGATTTCTGTTCCTACCTAGCTGGAGTAGATGGGGGTGGGGGAGGCAGTATGGGTATGTATGTACACCAATGAGGGCATGATGGGACTGATTCCCCTGAAATCATAGCTATGGAACTACCTCTATAGCCTAACATACGAGGTCCTGGATTTGGACCTGTGGCTCTTGTAGAGGGTGGTGGGGTCAGAAGTCTGAAGAACTAGGATTCCCTTTCAGGTCTCCTAGGCAACAAGCAGGTGACCAATCAGAGCTTAAGCCTAGGGCATAATTGCAGACATGCCTAGTAACCAGGGTAATTGAGATCAGTGAGAGGGCAAAACAGGAAGAGCAACAATCAAGAATATCTGTCCAACCTACTAAAGAATCCATGGCAAACCCGAGAGTGTCCCTGTCCCTGGACGAGGTCATAAAGATAGAAGAGGTATGGCAGGGATTAAGCTCAATTGAAAGAACTTCTGATGGGGTTACCCAGATCTGTTTCCCCAGTGTGAGCATGGGGAAGTACCAAGAAAGTGCTTTGTAAGGAACTTCCCCACCCCTGAAATGGGATGTTGCTTTCCACGTGTTGAAATATTTTGAATGATTTATTGCTCGATATTAACCTGCCCTATTTCTGATGGAGTGAGTGGGTGGGAAAAGATCCTCCAAGTTCCTCTTAGGCCAAGACTAACGAATAGGATGCTAGGGTGAGGGGTTTGGAATCTGGGCTGACCAGGTGCATTCATTTTCCTTGCAGAGTTACAAGAGGATGGTAGCATTTGAGAAGGCTGTTGAGAGGTAATTTCCCATGCCCTCCCCCCCAGCATTTCCACTTACCAGTATGGTCTCCTCTGTTTTCTCCATCCTCAATACTATAAGGTATTTATCCCAAAGATTCAGAGAAAGGCAAGAATTAGCTTCACATAACAAATGTAAATACATACCAGTTCACTAATGACCCCCAGATTAGACTACAGTACCTAATTTTGCCCTTCCTCCTATTTCTTCTCCCACAGTACCCTGAATGTAAATGGGAGTGGTCGGTAAGGGGGAACTTCTTTCGAGATCTATGCCCAGCAGTATAATAAACACTTATGAGAGGTTCCAGAGAGATAGAGATTGTACCTACACTTGAGCTTACTTATTTAGGAAACACAAGACAAATTCTAGCTCACAGAAATGCCTAATGGTATTCTATCTTCCTAACTGAAATCCACATAAATTCTCCTGGGACAGTTGGAAAAATACAGTAGTTCAGTGCGTATGGCAGGCAACAATGAACCAGAGGAGGAACCCATATGCCATCCTGAGAATGCAAGACATCATGGAACAGGAGATGGCATTGGCCAACAAGCAGCTGCTAACTGTGAGTGGGTCAAACCCACTATTGTTCCCTTTGCCCCATTAGGATTCCCAGGGCCATCCATGATCTTTACCCTGAACCACTTTGCTTGCTAGCAACTAGCTGCATTTACCATGTCCTTGTTTCACCAACGCCTTTTCATTCTAAATACCAGAGCTTTGTATTCAACAATTGCATCCTACTTGTGTCGCATATTTTGCTATCCAAATGTACCAACAGCCAAAGATTCTCCAGTGCCTAGCACGACTGTCACATAGTAGGTTCTTAAATGTTCGTTGATTGGTTGATTATCTGATCTTTTTCCCTTAGTGCTTCTCTAGCTCCCTAGACTCAATGTACTTTAAGTTAACCTTATTTCTATTTCTTTACTGTCCCTTAACCCCTGCTGTATCGTATTGGATTCACCTAGCTTGAGGAAATGATGTGGTATGCTCCGTGTCCATATGTGTGAAGTGTATGCTATCTTCCCTATCCTAAGCTACCTCCTGTCCCTATGTCCAAATTAAAAAAACAAAACCCAAGAGCTAGGGAACCAGCCAAGGGCAGAGGTGGTGGGTGGGTGCCAAAAGGCAAATTTCCACACTTTACTTTGTCCCTTCCTCTCCCAGGTTCGGCAGGCTGCCTTAAGTCAGCTGTTTGAGGAGGAGCATCGACAGTACCAGCAGGAGCTAAATCAAATGGGCAAATCCTTCTATGTGGAAAGGCTCTGAAGGCTTCAGAGGCACTGTCCCTTTTTCTCTAACAGTTCATACTTCCAGGCTCCCTAAGGCCTAGAATTTTTTTCCCTAGGATAAGTCTGGATCAGGCTATTTGCCTGCAGCCAGATTGTCCATTTCTCATCTGTAACTTTTTATTTTTTGGTAAAGATGATGCATTAAAAGGCTAATGAGGCAAGAGTGACCTCTTGTGATCAATTCAGGGACTGTAATTCTGATGAATATTATTAACTGGGTGGGAGAGGGGAGTTATTTGATGCAAACTATGATTCTGATTGTTAATAGTTTAAATATGGCTCTACCACTAGGCCAGCTGGCTCACTACTTTAAGCTCAGTCCTTGAGGCTCACTCTTCAGATCTGTGTCAAAACTTCTGTTTCCACAATTATCCAAATTCGGTGATTTATCTTCTCTCTCTCTCCAAACTCCTACCAAATTTCTTTTCCACAAGCCTTTTCTGTTTAAACACATTCCTTCAATTGCTGCTACTCATTTTCAAGTCTTTTCTCACCACTTATCTATGTTTACTATATTCCCTTATATATCAATGACTGCCCCAGTCAAGACTTCACTTACTTATGGGCCTAGGCCATAGGAACACTCTCTGCTACCACTGCCATTAGGGGATATCTCATCAATGTCCTTAATCTTTCACTGAAGCCCCATTACTGAAAGACTGTGAGATGTGGAGTGAAAAAATCACTGGATTTGAAGTCAGGAAAGACCCAGGTTCAAATTGTGAATCCAATACTTACTGTGTGACCATCGACAAATCACTCAAACGCTATGAGCCTCAGTCTCCTCTTTGAATGGAGACAATATTTCCACTGCCTTCATTTCATAGGACTGTTGGAAGTTTTAGAAATGTTTAAAGCTCTATAGAAAGCTACTAATACTACTACCACCACCACTGACAATCTTACTGTCCACTCTACCCAGGATTTCCTGCTTCTGCCAAATACTTACATACCAAAACCCCCATTCCCATTGGAGTCCAAAACCCCAAGAACCAGTTGCCACCACTCCCTCCTGCAAACCACTATCTGCTGCTAAAGGCTTGGGCTTTGAGAAAGGGAAGCCCATCCTATATGCAGAACAAACACTCTCTAAGTTAATGGTTCTCAAAGTGTTATGCAGGGACACCAAGGGTCCACTAGACCCTTTCATGGGGTCCACTGAGGTCAAAACTTTTCATAATGATTTAATTTCTAATATCATTAATACTGATATATAGGTAGATAGATATAATCCACATAAAATTTCTTTGGGTGGGGAGGGGGGATCCTCAATATTTTGAAGCGTATAAAGGGATCCTGAGAAGAAAAAATTTGAGAACTGCTTTTAATTAAGCCATGGGCAGAAGCTTTGATGTAATCTCTATCCCTAGCACTATTTCCTCCATGTATAGGCATTCAGAAAATGTTTGAGAGTGAGCTTGGTAGAGGGTAATACTCCAAATCCTGGAATAATATGTATTTTTATGTCTTGCAACTTAAAATTCTAAAAGTATGCTTCCTTAGAAACATTGTTATAAATATTGGTTCATTTCTGTGAAACTAGATTCTAGTTGGAGATGGGTGTGGTGAAATCTATGATTTCATCAGTGTAGAGAATTAACTGCTATTGAGAAAGTCCCTCTGACAATAGATATCAGCCACTATTTGGCAACTTAGATTAAAAAACAAAACAAAACTTTAAAAAGGTTTACTTAAATCTTACTTAAACTAGCTTTAAAAAGAGCCAGTGTGTATCGGGGACAATAACTGAACCCAAATCTCTGATTCTGAGTCTAGTTCACCATCTAATTGGCCACACAGTCTCTTAGTTAAGTGATAGTTGAACAGGCTTTTGCAGACCGGTATAGAAATCTAACCTTTGATCACATTGTTTCTAAAGGGAAATGAGCTCCAAAATGACATAAATAAATGTTTGAAACACAATTCATTAAAAAAGAGATTTCTATACTCCTTTCTATATGTCCCTGAAACTCCTCCAGGCTGCATCAAATTATGTTGTTTACTTGTTCCCCATATTTTCTCAATAGCTCCCCTTTTCTCCCTGCTCCTAAATTGGGGGAAACTCCTGCCTGGGTGGTAGAACATCATGAACACGTTTTCTAGCCTGAGAATCAGTTCTGATAAGCTCTTTGACAGTAGAGAATGTTTCATTTTTGTTTTTGTATCCCCAGTATCCATCTTGGTGCCTTGCATATGGCTGGTAGTTAATATGAGTTATTTTTGTCTATCATAAAGACAGGTTAAAATACAATCCACAATAAATTAGGGGAGGGGGTAGTTCTTTGAAGTCTGGATATCCTAGGAGCAAAAGTGTAACCACAAGGGGAGAGTGTCCTTATTCTTATTAAGATATGTAGAACTAATCATTAGATTGTGACTTCTTGAGGGCAGGGTCTGTCCTTTGCCTTTTGTTTGTTTTTGTAGCCCCGAAGCTTAGCACAGTACCTAGCACGGCAGAAGGTGCTTAATAAATGTTTATTGACTGAACACAATACTGATTTGGTTTGACTCGGGCCAACTACAGCAAGACTTTCATCTCCTTTCTTGGAAGCTTCGCCCTTCTTGATGCAGCCCAAAATAGCATTAGCTTTTTTGGCTGCATGTCACTCTGTTGATTCATATTGAGCTTGCAATCCACTTAAAACCCCCTGATCTTTTTCAAACTGCTGTCTAATCGTACCTCCCCTACCCCCATCCTGCCCCCACCTTATACTTGTGAAGTCAGTTTTCTGAACCCAAGAGCAAGGCTTTATAGATACCACAGTACAATTTTATCTTGTTACATGTGGCCCAGTTCTCAGGCTAGAGCCTGAGAATTTCTTGTACTTTATACCATCCAGTATGCTAGCTATCCCTCCTCCCAGCTTTAGTGGGAGGACTAAATGTCATCTGCCAATTTGATAAGTACATGATCTCTGCCTTTTTCCAAGTCATTGATAAAAAATGTTGACTAGGACAAGGCCAAGTTACATACCTGAGAGATGTCATTGGAGGACTCTCCAAACTCTTATCAAACCATTTGGGTCTAGCCAGTCAGCCAGTTGTGAATTCAGCTAATTGTGTTATCTATATTTCTCTAACCCACTTCCACCCTCTTTATCTCCCCCGGGTCTGAGTCTTCCCTTCCCCCTTGTTCTTCCTTTCATGCACTCATCTTCAAGGCCAATCCCTACTCCTAATAATAGATCGCCCTCCTCCAATTTCTGCCTTATGTCTCCCTCTATGCCTCTATTATCTGTAGTCTGTCTACCCCTGCTCCCTGCCGTGACATCCACTTCCCTCTCTATTTCTCTGACTTGGTTTCCCTAGCCACATATTACCCTTTGCTTATTATAATCTCTGACCTTGGACTCTCCCTGCCTCAGGGCTTGTCATTGCTGGGCTGGCTCTGCTATTGGCAGGCCTGTCCCTCACTGAGCCTGCCTTCCCAGCCCCACTGTCTGCTTCCATTACATCAGCAGAATCATTCACTCTAACTCTTCCTTTCTGATACTGGTGTCATGCATGCTGGGCTCCCCTGGGGTCAGAAAGACTATCTACATCATTTGTAGGGAAGGCATGAAAATAGTCCAGAGAGGAGGGCTGAGAACATTTCATGTCATGGTCACGTCCCTCTCCTCCCTAGCTTATTTAGATATTCCCTTACCCCCAACGACCCAGTCTCTTCATCTACATCAATATTCCCTAGGCCTGCTTCTTTTCCTGCAGTGCTCTTCAGTCCTTGGCTCCCTCAAATGCTCTCTTAACACCTTTTCTCCCCTCTGTAAACACCCTCTTTTCCCTATTTCTTCCAGTTTTTGATCATCTTTCCTCATGCCCTACACAACCAGGTTAAGTTTACATCAAGAGTATGGAATTAGTATGGTCTCTTTTCACCAGAAACAACAATTCTAGCATCAGGGTTTGGGCAAGGTTGATGAAGTAAACAAGAGTGCACTTGGGGATATGGGGAAAGGCAGTGTCAGTAGGCAAAGAGAACAAAGATGGCACCAACAGTTATGAAGGTATAATCACAAGAACTCTGTTGAGTGCCCGTAAGCTGTTCTTTTCCCTAGAGGACATGAACCACAAGGTTGACAGAAATTGATAGGCAACAAGGGACAAACTATCGATCTGGCCCAAGGACAGAGTGTCATTTAGAGGCAGGGCGGGGGGGAGTCTATAATAGTGGGAACAGGGACACATGGGGCAGGCCTGCCTGGGGGCTGAAGCCATGTTGCTGGATCCCCCCCCCCCCCTAGAATTTTCCAATAGTTATAACCCTGAGCTTTGGTCACAGCCTCCAGAAGCATCTACCCTCTTCCTCAATGAGATTCTGTTCCTCCTCTACCCAGTGAACTCCTGTTTGAAACTAGCTGGGCCAATGGTAAACTGGGGTCTTTACAGAAGAGCTGCCAAAGAGGAGAAGCATGGATCTTTGCAAGGAAGGAATCCTAAAGAAAAAAGAGGGGCAGTCCAGACTCTTAGATTTCCTACAAGAGCAAAAGTCCCAAAGGAGAAGAGGAACATGGATCCTAGCCCTTTTCATCAAATGCAACTGGCTTTTTCCATTCTGCTTATACAGCCTCCAGGCTGAGTCAGGAAAGAAAGGCTGTAAGTCATCTGCAACCTGGGGTTCTCTGATCCCATTCCACTAGGAATCCTGGGATGGGTGAGGGGGAAATTAAAGGCTAGACATTTTAAAAAGACTGGGTCACTTTTGTTATAGGCACCTGAGAAACAAATGGAATAAAACTGACTTGCATGAGTGGCATAAAGAGGGAAAGGAATGGAAAAAAGGGGCAAGATGGGGAAAGAAGTTAAGCATTGCCTGGAAGTTCTATGTCTATGCTACCCAGGGTATGAGAACAATCAAGTGGAAATCAGTGGACTAGAATTGGTCAGGTACTTATGGGGTTGACCTCCACAGCTTTTCGAGGTGTGAATGGAAAGGTTCTACTAGGGAATATATACTGGAACTGGTGTTCCATTATGGAGGCAAAGTAAGGTTTACCAATAACATACGGTTGGGGATTCTCAAGGTGCTTAAAGTTAGGATGAGCAGATGCAGGTCGATAAGGTGTTGACATTGCTGATCCATCATGTATCTTGGACATAGGATAGGAGAATCTCTGGCCTGACTTACTAAGAGTAGTACATGGATATGGAGCCTGTCCAGGCATGTTTTCCTAGCCAATCTAACCAGCCATTGTGAAAGTCAAGGGCATTGGGGAGGACAGGAGCACAGATTGGGGAGGCACTGAGGGAAAATGAACAGGAAGGGGTATGGGAAATGAGAAAAGGGCAGGAGCTAGTACTGATATATAATCCATCCTTTCACTGACCATGCTCGGGCCCTTAATTTTTCATTTTTGCCTATTCCCAGGTTCCCTGCTTCTGTGTGATATGTTTGATATTAGGTTGTTTGATAGCGAATCAACTAAATGTCAAACATATTCTTACAGCGGTTGGGTGATTCAGCATCACTATGACCTCTCCCTTTCTCCCATTTTTTTCTCCCTGCCCCCAACCCCTTCTTTAGAAAAGTAACAGCTATAGTCTAAGGAGTTCTAACAGGATCTGGAGTGGAGTGGTGGTATATAAAAGCTGAAATTTTGGGATCTAGTCCTCTTGTAAACTGGTCCTTACACTAGAAAAGACTTCATTGTCCTTATCCTCTCAGATTTGACATCCTTATTCCTCTCCATCTCTTCCTGTTCTCATCCTTTCCCCAATCCTTATTCAGATCCTTCCTCAACACCTATTATTTCCTCATCCTGAATTTTCCTGTTTTCTTCATTTTCAGATTTGCTACCACAAATATTTCTACTTCCATATTCCATAGCAGGATTCCTTGGTACCTTTATTGGATCTTCTCTCTGAATCATTTGGTATCATAGAGGTGCAATGTAGAGTACTGGACAGGAAGACTAGAGCTTTGAACTCAGATACTTACTAGCTGTGTGATCCTGAGTAGATCACTTAACCTCTATCTACCTCAATTTCCTCAACTGTAAAATGGGGATAATAACAGATTATTATTGTTTTAAGACTCAAATGAGATCGTATTTGTAAAGCATCTGGCACATAATAGGCATCATAGAAATGCTTGTTGCCTTCCCACTTTTTTTATCTGCCTGTTCTTTGGATAACTAGATCCTCCCAGGGATGGTTAACACCTCTGCCTTAAGCCATTAGCCACAAATACCATGCCCTCCATGCTGACAAGCTAGAAATAAATATCTGACTTTGGACCAAATTTCACCTAGCATAGGATTTAAGTCACATATCAGGCCACATGCTACCCAACCTCCTCCCTGCCACTAGTTCTCATGTCCCTGAGAAGTGCCCACCTTCTTTTCTGGTACACACTTTGGTGCCAGAGTTCTGGGGTCATCAGCCACCTGTCAGCAACCAGGCTCCAGGGAAAGAGTGACTATGGATGGCCTTGAGTTGATCCAGGAAGGGAGGGGAAAATGATGAGGGTTGGAGGAGGGGGAAAGGAGGTGATCAACAGGGGACAACAACCTTGGACATTGTACTTTGGAAGGTGACAGGAATTCTATTTAAAGATCCAAAACCACATGTGGAAAATAGGGACTTACATCTCTCTCTCAGCTTCTCTTATCTGCCCCCCCTCCCCCAATCTCCCAATTTTTGTTTCCTTAGAATGGCTTCCTAGGTCCAGCTCTGATTCTTCTACCTAGCAGCCCTATTTTTACTTAATTCTTACAGTTTGGGGAAGGAAGAATGTAGTCTGGATCTCTCTTTAATAACCAGGGACCCCTAAAACCATACAACAATTTTATGATGGGGAGGAGCCATCATTGACCTTCCCCTCTTCTTTTCCCCAAACTCTTATTTATTTATTTATTTCCTCCTCCCAAATTCACTAGATACCAAGAATAAATGGAAAATACTTAGTGGGATATGCCTAGCACCAAGTTTAGATCAGGTGAGGGTTAACAGTAGGAGGGGTAGTCAGAGCCCTAATAAAGTTCCAAAAACTGGGACCTTCTAGTTGCCTGAAATCTGCCTTTCTGCCTCTTCCATAGCATTCCATTTTTCTCTCATAACAGTTATTAAGGTATCTAAATGAAAGAGGAAAAATAATTCATGTTGATAGGAGCCTGTCCCTCCCCCACTTTCTATTGTCTAAAACCAGCCTTCAGCTGTTCCTGAATTTCTCTAAGTGACATCAGTCCATCAGAGTGTTCCTCCCCATAGGAAGTCAATTTTAGGGAGGTGGAGGATTGAACAGGGCCATATTGGGATGGAGGGGTGGAGCTAGAGCCCTCAAGATAAAACCTCAGTTCTAGGGATGACCAGTCGCCCAGACAGAAGACCCTTAGCGTTTGTTCCAGTCCCCAACGACTCATAACTAACCCCAATGATGGAGGCCATCAAGAAAAAGATGCAAATGCTGAAGCTGGACAAGGAGAATGCCTTGGACCGGGCAGAGCAGGCTGAGGCTGAACAGAAGCAGGCAGAGGACCGAAGCAAGCAGGTGTGTGCTGCAATTTGTTTTTAACATCTACATGGGGCTAAGGGATATGGGAAGAGGATGAATAAGAAAGGAAGGTGACAGATAGAAAGGACAAATGTCTCTTTCTGGGAGAAATAGCCTTTTCCTGTGGTCCTAGCAGGGGCAATATTGGCCAGTGTTAAAGAGCTCCAGGTTGGGAAGAAGGCTATCTGAGTTGTTTGTCCTGGCTGCCTATGACCTCGAACAAGGTACTGAAACTTGCTGAGCCTCTGTTTATCCATTAATAATAATGTTAGTAGGGGCAGCTAGGTGTCGCAGTGGATAAAACTCCAGCCTTGGAATCAGGAGGACCTGAGTTCAAATACAGCCTCAGACACTTGACACTTACTAGCTGTGTGACCTTGGGCAAGTCACTTAACCCCAACTGCCTCACCAAAACAAAACAAAAAAATAATAATGATGATAGTAGTAGTAGTAGTAGTAATAGTAGCAATTATGTGGTACCTGCTATGTGCTAGTCACTGTGGTAAAATAGATGATCACTTTCCTGAAGAGTCCATCTGACTCTGGAAGCAGGGATAGGACACTAACATTCAGCACCTCAATGCCCTCATCAGTCCTTTAACACAAACCCCATCGAGATACCCTGGAATCTTTGGCCCTCAAGTCTCTGAAGTCAAAAATTGAGGGCAGATTAGACATCTCAAGTATCGGGCTGGTAAGTACTGGGCTTCCCAAGGCCAAATGACAAGGACAGAGAATTGGGAACTGGTTGATAGGGGAGTTTCCCTGGAGCTACTAGTCCAGAGGCTGGACAAGGAATCTAATTAGGATCTAGGAACCCAGGGACAATTAAACTGTAATTGTGGTGTATGTATTGCTTTCTTGGGGTTCTCACAGTTGGAGGACGAGCTGGCAGCTATGCAGAAGAAGTTGAAGGGAACAGAGGATGAACTGGACAAGTATTCAGAAGCCCTGAAGGATGCCCAGGAGAAGCTGGAACTAGCAGAGAAGAAAGCAGCAGATGTAGGTATTAGGTAGATGGGGTAAATGGGGGAGAGTTTGCATAAACATACATGATGAACTACATTATGTACTGAACATAACTCACACGAACACTTGTGAGGACACTGAATACAAATAGTATTTTGTATTCTCAAAAATACTCACAAATTCATACTTGTGAACTCACATGAGTAAAACCATGTAATGAGATACATAGACATATATTTTCTTTCTCACGATGCTATCCTGACCAAGACACTTCCATTTCATTTTGTCTGTTCATCTATTTATCTATTTTCTTAGCCCTTCTGTAGAGCTGGTAACAGATTGTGTCTCGTCCCAAACCAAACTTCTGAGCCCTTTACCTCAGAGGGCTGCCTTTATATTCTGCTTGGTCTTATTTTCCTTTTAGGGTGGGGTGCTTACCTCCTGGGCCATCCAGTTCAATTAGTTGATCCTAATGCCTTGCAGGAGGCCACTCCCCACTCCTCCGAGCTGGGTAGAGGGAGGGAACTCTAAGCCCATCTAACATGACTCATTTCATCTCCTTCTGTCCCCACATCCTAAGCTCCTGGCTTTTGTAATGAGGGTCTGGCATGCAGATGTGTATTAATAGGACATATGTCATCTTCTTACCACCAAACCCAGCTTGGGTTTCACACTGGAACAAAGAAAGAGGTAATATTATCCCTGGTCCAGCATGGCCTCATTATATTCTGAACAATTTGGGCATTTGTGCTTATGCCACTGAAATGCCACAGGGGGCTGTACCAGAAGAAACATGGGTAATATCCAAGGTAAGTAATAGAGCAGGGACCAAGGGAGAAATTTAGGACACAAAAGTAGCATATAGTGTTGTTATGTCATTATCTTGCTATATAACCTCTAGCAGAATACTATCTCTGAACCTCAGTTTTCTCATTTATAAAATGGAATTTATAATCTTTTCTCTTTTAACATTATCTGACCTGATTTCCTCCAACCCCCCTCGTTAAGGTTACTACAACAGCAAATGAGAAAACAAATGGGTAAGTCTTTTGAGGTTTTATAAGAAAAGCAGGATAAGAAATTTATTCAAGTTCCTCGATATTAATGAGCTATACAGTTAATTTTCAATTATCCATATTCTTTTTGTGAGGGGTTGGTCTAGATAGCCACTGAGGTCCGTTCCAACTCTCAATTTCTGTGATTCTGTAATAATAAAAGAGAGAAGACACAGGGATACTTTTTAAAGGATAATCATATCTATTTGGCTTTGAAATGCAACCAGACATATACCCTAACTCATTTTAATATTCCCCCCACTTCATATTTAATTCTAATCTCTCTCTTGTCTTTTTCAAATCATCAAACATCCTGTGAACATGGGGGAAAATTGGACACCAGAACGGATATACAGATTAGATACCCCCCCAAGTAATGACATTGCAATGCATGTATAATCAAAAATTCCCCAGAGTTCTATCATTTAAGTGGTGATAAGCACCTAGATGGTGACTAATAATGGAAATCTCACTATGTAAACCCTTCTAAGAAAAAAAAGCAGCACATAATTACAGAAACTAAGACGTGGAAGAGACCTTGGTAGCCATCAAGTCCAACCCATTCCTGAGAAGAATCCACACTCTAGAATACTTCTGCTTGAAGACCTCCAAGGAGAGGGAAGTCACCAACCCCTCAAAGTAGCCCATTCTACAGCTATTATGGGACAGCTCTAAGTGTGAAAATTTTTTTTTTCCTGTAATCAAGCCTAAACTTGCCTCCAAGAGAAATATAACTCCAAGATACCAGGCCATGGAGCAGTTTCTAAGAGCTAAGGATGCTGCTATTTCCTCCCTTTCTAAAAAGATTAAAAAAACTATTGACCATGGCAGAGGCTCTCTGGACATCGAATGTTCTTGAGGATTACTCTACTCTGGGCAATTCTGGGGAACTTTCTATTTGGTTCCTACAGACTGTCATGTGGAAGGGATTAGGGACTGCTGAGATACTAATACCAAAACAGGTTTAGTACCATTCTTGGGAATATAGGAAACTGCATCTCTTGAAGTAATAAGTCTTTTGGAAGAAATTTGGTATATCAGAGAACTCTAGGTTTGAGGTTCATGGCAGGAATGGCTGGCTTGGTGGCAAGATTATTAGGATTGTGTATTTGGGGAAGAGCAAATTTAAGTAATATGAGATTTGCACAGTGGGGCACAGATATTCAAGCTAATAGTCTTAGAGAAGTTATGAAAATTTCCAGAAATCAATTATTTCTGTCCTCCTCCTTTAGATTATACATGCACACATAATGCCATCCACTGGCCTATGAGGTACTATCATCATCAGAACTTATTTTATATAGCTCTTTAAAGTTTATAAAGCATTTCACACTCTCATTTGACCCTCATAACAAATAAATCTCCCTATACTGATATAGACCCACAAAAGGTAACAGAAATAATAACTCCTGGTTATATGTTGCTCCATGCTACACTATTTGTTGACTCTTATAACAATTCTATGTGGTAGGGAAAGTATTACCTTTATTTTACACGGGAGGAAAGTAAGACTCAGAGATATTTAATTGCTAGCTCAAGGTGACACAGCCATTAAGTGGAAGATCTGGCTCTCCCAGTTTTAAGACCAGTTCTCTTTCCACTATATATACCACATAAGACTCTCTCAGTGATCAAACTGAGCATGGCTGCACTGTAATCCAGACATACATTATTAGCCTCTACCTCTTCTTTCCAACAGGCATTCTTAGAGATTAGGCTGAGAAACAAAAGAGGAAGGATCACAGATTTGGAACAGAGAAGGGACCTGACAGATTATCTAGTCCAACCTCCTCATTTTACAGATAAAGAAACTGAAAGCCAGAGAGGTCAAGTGAAAGAGAAGTAGATTAGGTGCAAAATGGGAGAGTCTGAAATTGGGCTGCACAGAAGAGAAAAGGCACCTTGCAACCCAAGGAGGGATAGGGAGGTGAAGGGGTTGGCTTGATGTTCAGTTATTGGTAATGGAGAAAGATGAGAGATTGAGTAAGAGGAAACAGGCTATGGGGTCAGCTCTTCATGAAAGGCAGTGTAGTACTGTGGAAAAATTGTTGAACTTTGAATCCCAGCACTTGAGAATTTGAATCCTAGCTTTGGTAGTATGTGACTTTGGGTAAGTCATGTAACTTTTCTAGACCTGAGTTTCCTCATCTGTAAAATGAAGAGGTTGATCTTCAAAGATCCTTTCCAGTTCTAGATTTATGATCCTATGATTTATTTTTGTTGTTGAGTTGCCCATTTAGGGTTTTCTTGGCAAAGATATTGGAGCAGTTTGCCATTTCCTTCTCCAGTTCATTTTACAGATGAGGAAAATGAGGCAAATAGGGTGAAGTGACCAGCCCAGGGTCACACAGCTAATAAGTATCTGAGGCCAGATTTGAACTCAGGAAGATGAGTCTTCCTGACTTCAGGCCCAGTACTCTTATCCACTAGTGGTACTACCTAGCTTTTTGGAGCAATCTATCCAGCCCTATACAAAGAAAGAGTTAAAAGCTTAATCCCTGCCTACTGAGGGATTATGTAAAGAAGAAAGAAAAGTTGAATAGGCAAAGACCAAAGAATATGGCTTAATAACTTATCAATGAAAATATTATGTCCACTCAGGGGGCAAAGGAGTTGTTGAAATAGAAGTTGTGGTAGAGAAAATGAGGGAAGCAGGAAACTTTTATAGGAATTATATGTTTAAGTAATAAGGGGTTTTAGTTGTCTTGGAAAGCGTTGCTGGAAAAAGTAGGATTTTCAGGAGCTCCTTTGACAAAGGAAGAGTAAAGTAAAGGTTTGGGGAGGTCAGTCTCAAACCTTATGTATTTCCTTGACTTGGTTCTTTGCATAGAGATAAAAGCAGCAATTTTTCAGTGAGAACTAGTAGAAGGGAACATGGTTTAGGGGCAAAATGTTATAGCACTGTTATGCAGGGAGTAAAGAATGAGAAGGAGAATTGAAGGGTTGGGGGAGATTCTGGGTCTATATTGGCACCTGCCAATGTATTGTTGGTCTCCAGGAAAATAATAGCACATGACTCCTTAGCAATTCCGTCCATCATACTTTTAAGGGCTATAAGGTGTCAGCTCACCTGTTCCTCCGGATTAAGTGGAGATTATCTGTTTAAATATTTGGGCCTAAAGAATGCAGTGATCCTAAGGCGGTATCAAGGGCTTCTCAACACAATCCTAGTCTGTCCATGATAAAAAAGGATTTTTTTTTTTTTGTTTACCCTGGCCTTGAAAAAGTTTTTAAAAAAAGAGCAACAGTGCCCCCTGCTGACTGGCACATTATCTTAAAATTATTACAAATTTAGTATAACCACTATCAAACACATAAAATAAGAAATTTAACCATAAACCACAGAAGAAATTCAAGCATTCAATCATAAACTATAATTGATGTAAATTACCTCATTATCTGCTTCCAAAGATACTTTATACCAAGGAAGCAGGTGATACAGGATGGATAATTCCCAGGACTAGTTAGGGTTTCCTGTAATTCAGATCACTACTGAATCTCAGCCCATTGTTGTTCCATCCCTGCCCTGGAAGAAATATAAAAGGACAGGCTACCACTCAGGAGGACTGGGCAAATGCCCAACTGTCTTCTGGAATAGTTCCACTTGCAGGAAAGGGGAAAACTAGCCTTCTGAGAAACCATTCTTGGGATATGCTAAGAACCCAGTACCTGAAGAAACAGGTATGTATCATGTCTTCTGCCAACCTCAGCGGTTAGGACTTCTAGGCTGTTTGTATCTGTTTCATTTTAACTTAGTAGGACAAGCAAAGGGCAAAAAACCTTAGGGCTTCTGAGACAGTGAGAAAGAATTCAGAACTGTTAGTAAGTAGGAAAAGAAAAACAGAAAGAGGAGGGCAATTTATACTTTCTTGGAAAGAGCTGTCTGGGATGTTTAAACATCCTTAGCTTTAACATGATATAACTTAGAAAAAGTAGCTGTGAAAGGCCTCTCAAGAAGACTGAAACTAAAAGGCTAGTTTGAAGTTCAGGCTAGATTTCTTTTTTTCCGTCTAAAATGTTGTCTTCAATGTAGGTCCTCAGACACCCAACCTGGCAAGAAGATCAAGAGACAAAGCTAAGGAAACTAAAGAATAATCACTCCCCCTGGTCATCAAAAGAGGGAGCTCATAAGATGTACCCAATTCTGAGTTTTCTTTGCTCAGAATCTCTCAGTGTCTCTCAGAATCCTATCACGGGTGGCCCTGTGAGTCTGTTTCAGTCTGTAAATATGTCTCCTGATGTAACTGGAAACCAAGGCGGTAGTGAAGTTGGTAATGAATGTGGTTGTCAATGCAGTGAGAGTTTCTGAAACAGGGAAACCACCCCCTTCCTCGCTCAGTTGGGCTTAAACTCTGAGAACAGTTGTTTATCCATCCGTGCTACCTCCCAAGTCCGGTGCAAAGCCACAGCATGTGCACAGAGCAGGGCTCGTCCCTGAGAGCAGTGGGATGCCTTCCTCACCTGCTAAGGGACTGAGTGCTAGGGAGGATGTCCGAGTCCTGCAGTTTCCAGGAGCAGGAGGGGGCAGGCAGGCCAGTTTGTTGGGACAGCTCCGCTTCTCTCCGCCCCTCCGTGCTCTGGGTAGAGGCTTGGACGTCTAACATTAACCACAAGGACAGTAATGATTACGAGTGAGTAACTCCGCTTGGAGCCTGTAGTTTTATACGTGGTGAGTACAAGGTGCTAACATTTCTATCGTCCTTTAAGGTTTACAAAGTGTTTCTCATACACAGCAGGGTAGGCAAGTCCTCCCTTGTCGATCCGTCCATCCCTCGGGGCACCCGGGGCTTTGGAGACTTTCTCTCATTGCAGCTTGGGTCTTCCCGGCCAGAGCAGCTATGGTCGGTCAGGAGCTACCCAGGGCAGGGCCGGAGTCCGACTGGGATACCCAGAGAGCGGATCGTCGCCTCCTTCCCGGGGGCTGTCGGCGACTCTCCCGAGATGCCGGGAAAGAGGAGGGATGGACACCTTTTGTTAGGACTCAGCTGGAATCAAGGGGCTCCCGGCTGACCTGGGGTGGCGAGTTGGCTGGGAGGGGTCGAGGGGGGCGGGCAGCTTTGTGGAGCGTCACTGGAGCTTCAGACGAGTGCGCGTGGCGGGTCCGGCCATTGTTAGAAGCCCGCCAGGCCCGAGAGGCTCGGACTGGGCCGCGCCTTCTGGTTACCATGGCAGCGGCCCCCTCCCGCTCACGGCAGGAGACGGGTGGGGCGGTCGAGGGGGCAGTCAGTCTTCTAGTCAGTCTTCGGGGGTCCACACACAAGCCCCGCCCCTCGCTCCCCAACCCGTCTCCCTCCTAGGCCGCTTGCCGTCCAGCCTGGTTGGCGGAGGGAGGGGAGAAGGGGAGCTAGGCAGTCGTCACATCCGGACGGAGTGGGTGAGTTCCGGTATTTCAGGGCGGAGCAGGCGGAAGTAGGGCTGAGAAGCGGCAGCAGCACCGAGCGGAGGAGGCAGCAGCCGGAGCAGGAGCCGGAACGGGGCGGGCACCATGGCTGGTATCACCACCATCGAGGCGGTGAAGCGCAAGATTCAGGTTCTGCAGCAGCAGGCCGATGACGCCGAGGAGAGGGCCGAGCGTCTCCAGCGGGAGGTGGAGGGGGAGAAGCGGGCCCGGGAACAGGTACCTAGACAGGCCTGGCCGGGGCGGGGCTGGGCCGGGGGCTTGGAGGGACATGGGACCCCGGACTTGGAAAGTCACTACGCCGAGACCTGAAGGGGCCGTCCAGCTGGGGGTTGGCATCTAGCTTGAGGGGAACCAACATTGGGCAGAATCCGGTCGAGGAGGGCGGTGAACTGGGTCCCAAGAGTGGACAGGCGGGGCCGCCTGAGTAGGAGTCGTCCATCTCCGGAGCACCAGGAGGGGTTGCACGGCCGTACCGGGGCCGGGGTGTGGCTTCTCCCCAGCCCCCACTCCAGTCCAGACTCATTCATTCATTCCGGAGAAGCTGGGGCGCGGTCGGGGGAGGGGCTTTTCTACTCCCTCCCTCCCTTTGCTTGAGAGGAGACTGAGGGCTGGAAGGCAAAGCCCCCGAGTGGTTTCCTGGAGGGTAAGCGGTGGGCAGGGCTCAAAGCCGCGTGGCAGGGTTTCGGGGTGTCAGAACGAAGGGAGGCAGGAAAGCCCCCAGCCGAGGCTGCTGGCAGTCTTTCCGCTCCCCCCGCCTGTTCAGGAAATGAGGCAGCAGTTCGGTTGAGAGGAAATGCGGTACCCCGCTCTCCCCCCACAAGAGGATGGGGCTTGCAACGCCTCCCATCCTATTCTCTCTGCTAAGGTCCTTTCCCCCCAGTCCCGCCCCCCCCTCCCTCCTTCCCTTACCCGGGACAAATCTGAGGCAGGAGGGGAACCAGGGGTTCAACCTCCTTTCTCTTGTTGATGTCAATGTGGGAGCTTGTTTAGCTTAGGAGGCAGGAACCTCTGCCAATGTCAAGTCTTTGTTTCTGAAGCAAGATGAGTGCCCGTTGAACTTGTTGAGAACACTTCCTCCATACTGAACTGGTAAGCATGTATGTGTGTGCAGAGGGGCATCATATGGGCTGCCAGCTTCTGCTCGGAATTCTGGTGACATGAGCAATATAGTAACAGGTTATTCAGATCTGATGAACTACTGGATATGAATTGTGGGTCTACTTATTTCATTTTGGAATCCTTATTCCTTTGGTGCTCCTACAGAGAGTGGTTTGGGACCTTGAAAGTATCAAATATGTATTGGAATATTCTAGGAAGGCTATTGGTAAGCTTTGTGAAAGTGCTTTCTCCTTAGAAGTGGTCAAGGAGGGGATAGGGATAGCATAAAGAGTAGCACTTGGCAAGACAGATGATGTACTGGTGTCTGGTGGGAAATAATAGGTGGTAGAGGGATTGAGAAGGTAATTGGCCTAATAGTTTTAATACTTGATGAAATATGTAGCTGGAGAGAAAATCCATGTTTTCATTATTGATTTTGGTTCCTCTTCCCCAGGGTCAGCCTTTACTTCTCTGGTTTCTGGGTTGGGGGACTCCCCAACTCTGAGCTTATGGTTTTGGAAAGTGGAATTAAAAAAAGAGCAAGTTGAAGGGAGGGGGTGATGGTGGAGCTGGACATTAAACCAGGTACTTAGCAGAAATCTGAAGCACTTACACTACTAAGAGTTAATAATCTTATTAATAGACTTAATATTATTATAATCTTAACAAGCAATTTAGTACTCTGAGCTGTGGCTAGGTGGCATTCATCTTTGATTGGTAGTATTCCACCTTTTCTCCCTTTATTTGCTAACTCTAGCCTTAAATTAGTGGATGGTGGACCTTCCCACCCCACCCAGTGTTGGAACTTCTATTGATAAATTATCTTGAACTCCATTTTCTTGGAAGGAGATCTTGAATAGATACTGTTGAAAAGTACCATTGTTCATGATCCCATAGATATCTCATAGATTAATTTCTTCCTATTGGTCTCTGAATAAATTGAGCTGCTTTAATGTAGCTTTTTTTTTTTTAACCTATTTCGGGACTAATGTTGGTGTCTTGAGTGCTTAAGGGAGTAGCTGTAGATTAATGCTTCTCAATCAAGGGGAGCCTGCCAAACCCGATTATTGCCCTGAGGACTAGTGAGGAAGTATTCAAAAAGGGGAAGTAGGCTAATGTCCCTGTGTAATGAGAGTCTTCCCCCTCTCCAGCTCAGGGGAATCCAATAATTACCTTTTTACTCTGTCTTCCCTTCCTCTGGGGAAGGGAATGGAGCTGGGTCCTTTTATTACCTTTTCTAGAACATCCTGGAGTATTGATTTGTAGGCTGACTTCTCCACTCCCATACCACACTCAAGTTGTTACAGGAATTGTCACTTAAATTTTCTCTTTTTTTTTCTTTTGACTTTGGCTGCTCATTTTATCTGGACTACTAGAGCCAGCGTCTAGTTAGGTAGGGAAGGAGTGAGGAAGCAGTTTAGTGATGTGATCCTAGGGTCATTGGTGTGTCTGTTGGTGATTAACCTTCCTAATGAAGGCATCCTGGAAATAATACTTTCAATTTTAGATTTAACATTATAGCACTGCCTTAATGGAAACAAGGTGATATATATGAAAGCTTGTCTACTCTTTTGTGTTTTGCCCCTACTGCTACCCTGGTGGGTTTTGAGAGTTTGTTTCGTTATTGTCTGCCTTTCTAGAGGAGTTCTATTGAAGGGGGTTCATGGACTCTTCAACAGCACATACCAAAAACTGGCCTAAATCTTAGATTCCGGGCCTTGGAATGGTGCTAGACAATATTATATGGCAGATTCTCTGTGGGGCCAGGTGAGCCCAGATACAGCTCTGGCCTTTTTAAACCCATAAGTACACTTTGGGGAGGGGCCAAGAGCCCTTTGCTCTTATTGCCTTAGCCTTGCTTCTACCTTTGTTTACCCTAGGGCCTAGTACTTCATCCTTTTCCTCCCTGCCCCCCAAAATAGAAAGTTAAATTCCTCAAGGGCACACATATCTCCCTTAGTAGATAAACATGAACACAATAAAGGCACCAATACTAAATTCTTCCTTCACTTGGGGCTCCTGCATAACTTCTATTATTCTTTCCTTTTGAATGTTTGTGACTTTGCTTTAAAAAGAGAGAATACACAGTGGCAGAGTGCCAGGTTTGGACTAATTCCCTCCTTGTCTTTATCCCGACTTTAGGGGCATCAATTGTTTGGGCAAAGCAGTCTCCTGATTTAGGTCTAAGTGGAATCTAGTTTGCATGAAGCTGATTTTGGTGGTGTTGGTGGATTGTGAAGGACGTAACATGAGTTGGCTTCAGTGGCTTGGGCTGGTGGTCACCATCTTAGAGCCACTTGTGACCACCTGGGCCTCCTCTTTAGGAGTGTTGTAGATTTAGTGGATCGGGAAAAATTAACTGAACTAATCTAGTTGTGGGGGGTGGGGGGGAGTCACTAAATCCAAAAGGTCAGATCCATATCTGGGAGTGGAAGGGAAAAGAACAAGCATCTATTAAGCACCTGCTGTGTGCAAGGCACCGTGCTGAAGAGTTAGACAGTTATTCCCGTTCTGTATAATTCTAGTGGCTACAGATCCAGAACTCAGTGTTTTCTATTCCATTGTATATAAGGGCTTATACTTAATATTTTCTCCATCTATCTCACCATCCCTAGGAGGCAGTTGGTCCAGCTCATGAGATTTCTTCTCTTGATGTGAGATGATAAAATAGTGACATGTTAAAGGTGGAAGGTTTAAACCAAAATCTTAAGTCTAGTCTGTTTCCCTCCTTTTATGGTTGAGGAAATTGAAGCCTAGAGTAGGGAAGTGACTGTCTCTAAGGGTGTACAGCTAAGTGATAAAGTTAGAGGACTTGGACCAGATCTTTTGACAGTCAGTCTACAGCTCTCTTCCACTCCTCTTTCCCTCCTTTCTTGGGTCCTGGCCTGACTGAAAATCGGGGTACTCCTAATCTCAAACCAAAGACCAGATCTTGATTCAATTGCCCATTCTCAGAAGAGCAACAGTCCATAAGAACGAGGTTTGGAGTTGTCTCTGAAGAGATTACTGAGATTTCCTATCTTGGATTTTGCCTACCTTTGTCATGTGTAAGAATCACTGTTTTCTTCTCTCCCTCTCCCTCTCCCTCCCTCTCTCCTCTTGCAAAGAATGTTATTGTAAATGCTGGGTTTGTGAGAGAAACCGCCCAAGCTAGCTTGTTGTCATGGAAACCTGTATACCTCTCTCCACCCCCATAGTCTGATTTCTCCTGCTGCAGAATGGGAGGAACCTCCCTTCCATCTAGTGAAATGCCTGATGCTCTCCTCAGCTGTCCCCAATACCTGCTTCAGTTCTTGGTTTGGAATCTCTTGTTATCTAGAAAACAATAATTATGTTGCGGGTATTTCACAAACTCTCTACAATAAACCTGACTTCCTGAACTTTATCTAGTCAGGCCTTGCAAGGTCCTCCAAGAAAGATGTGCTTCCTGGGAGATAATTTCTTCCTTGGATGGATTAGGGTTAGAAGTATTTTTATATGGTCTGTTAAGGTTAGAATGGATTTTCAGACATTTATTTGGGCAAACTTCTAATTCCTGACCATATAGCTTGTGGCCCACAGGCTAAATATGATCAGCTTAAAATTATTTAACACCCCCTCCCAAAATAAATAAACCCCTTGCTATCTAGCAAGCTTAACAGGGTGGGGAACCTGCTGCCTTGGTCACAGGTTTCCCACCCCTGGCTTAGCACATTTTAGCATTGCAGTCTTCCCCACCTGATTTCCTCTTGGCTTCCTTTGTTTGAGTTTTGTATGCCAAAGGGACTGACTCTTAGCGTAATTGTATTTGGCTGTACATTCTTCCAACCCCACCCACCCAAAAAGGGGGGTAGCGGTGGGAGAAAATCAGGGCAGCAGGATTCAGGCACAATCATTGCCTGCTGCGCTGCGGAAGGGAGATCATGTTTACCAGGTGCTTGGATAAGCATCTGAATTAAATGGTGTGCAGGGTAGATTAAATTCTTATACTATTGTAGCAGCCAGAGTTTTGCTTGATAGCTAGTTAAAGGGTATGGACAAGAGTCTGAGAGGCTTTGAAAATTACAAATTTCATAATCTTTTTAGAATTTCATTACTTTCTGATCTTCCTCTCATCCTGCCCCTTGTTTCTAACGTATGGATCGAAGACTTCAGCATCCTTAGTCTGTCATTCATCAATAGTTGGCATCTTAGAAATCGGAATGATTTATTATTCATATTAGAAAGTGAATATAGGAAGGAGCTTATTAGTCTGTTAAATCTTAAAGATCACCTAGATAGTCCATCTCCCATTTTTTGCAGATAAACTGAGGTCCAAAGAATTTGTAACTTTCTTGTCATAATGATCTTAGGGATGTAGTGGAGCTGGTACTCAAATTCAGGTTTTCCAACTAACTCCAAATTCAGCATTCTTTCTATAACATTACATTGTGGCTGAGATAAAGCTTGTGAAATTATTAGTAGGTAGGCTTTGTTAAGGGGTTGTGGGAGAATATGAAGAGAGGCTTCTCAGAAACAGGTTCTTTAAGGAAGGAAGCAAATGTGTGGGTAGACATACATATTTCTCCCTTCTGCTGTTTTCCTGGTCTTTTGGATGTCAAAGATACTTTTAGACAGGCCAAAGTTTCTTTTATTTCTTTTCTTTAAAGGGCTTTGGAAAGCAAATGTTGAAGGGTTGAGTGAGGTTAATATTCAGGAATGGTTTGGGGCCCAGACATCTCTTCTCTTGGCCCTGACTCTAGAGGCTACTTTGGAAGAACACATCATAATTTTTCTCTGGTATTTGTCCTTAGAAATGGGTCAAGAGTTCAATAGGTGTTCTGGTGTCATAAAACAAATTACTAGATTAATCCAGGCACATAACCAGGTCTCCTTGTTTCTTATTTCTTATTCTCTCCTCTCTAAGACAGATTCGGAGCAGTCCGAGAACCCTTCTCTGCCTGCATTTTTCTAGCCCTGTTGTGTTTACGCACTTGAATTGGGACCAAAAAAGGGGTGTTGCTGACTTGCTAGGCAAGAAGCTGATTTCTGAAACCCTGTTCCGTGGAGCATGGCTGGGGTGAAGGGAGTTTATGCATATACTAAGTCCCAGATACAGATCTCTCTAATCAGTTGGGTAGAATTTGGCCTTGCTCAATTACTATGGCTCTGCCACCCTTTTCTGTCCCTTTCTACCTAGGCTGAGGCTGAGGTGGCTTCCTTGAACCGTCGGATCCAGCTGGTTGAGGAGGAGCTGGACCGTGCTCAGGAGCGCCTGGCGACTGCTCTACAGAAGCTAGAGGAAGCAGAGAAGGCAGCTGATGAGAGTGAGAGGTAAGTCTGGGTGCTTGTTCTGTGGCTTTCAGTAGACAAAAGGTTTGCTGACTAGATCTCTTTAAATTCTTACCTGTCCATTCTAAGAAATCTTTTCGGTTATTCAATCCAGTTTTGAGGTTTTCTTTTTCTTCTCTCTTGATCTCAGTCTTCCTTTAGATAAGCTATAGCATATGGGGAAAGGGCTTTTGAACTTTGACTCTTCAAACAGCTGCTTCCTTGGAATTTCTAAAGTCTTCATGCAGTTAACTTATGTTTATTATGGCATCTACAAGTTAGTCCCTCCCAGTTACAATCAGCCTTTGTAGTTACATTCTCCTAGCTAATTCTTATCTCATCTTTGTCACTTGGATATTTGCCTTCCTACAGGTAGATTAAATTAGATGAAAAAGAAAGCAATTCCTTGAGCCATAGGCTTGTGAGATCTTCAAGGTTGTTGCTTCATTCCCACATATATCCTTGCTTGCTGTGTTCTCTTTGTAGAGGTATGAAGGTCATTGAAAATCGGGCCTTGAAAGATGAAGAGAAGATGGAACTGCAAGAAATCCAACTGAAAGAGGCCAAACACATTGCAGAAGAAGCAGACAGGAAGTACGAGGAGGTGAGACCTGCTCCTGGCTGTGCCAGAGCTCTGCCCTGGAACCCTTTTGGAAGGGGGAGACAAAACATGTTGAAGGACAAGAGCGCTTGCTTTCCTTCACTGATCTCTGGCCTGGCACTTTTTGTATGTAGGTGGCCCGCAAGTTGGTGATCATTGAGGGGGACTTGGAGCGCACAGAGGAGCGGGCCGAGCTGGCTGAATCGTGAGTATCTAACTTCCAAAACCTTATCACAACCATTGGTCACCTTTCCTTTTTGTGGTCACTTATGTGGAAAAAAACCAGCATTCCTTCAATCTTGTTAAACAAGGCCTTTGGGGTTGGAGAAGTCTGGAACTTACTTGAAGAATAAAATGGGCTTCAAAGAGAAGACTGTAGAAGGCTTGGCTGTGGAATGACTTTTGTGTAGAATATTGAGAAGTTATGCAGTGATGGGTGGGGAAAGCATGTAACCTAGAGTCTCTGCCATCCTGGCCTCAAAATGGGGCCACCATTCTGCTCTTGTGTGTCCCCCTCTCCTTCCCAAGTCCTAGGTGGCATGGAGGGAGAGGAGTACAGAGGCTGCCATTGTTATATGGCATATTTGTTAATTAGGGAAAGGACAGACACTTACTGCTCTGTCTTAGCATCTTCTGGGCCTTGTATAACAAAGTCACCCCTAACATGAGCATACTTATGCTTCCCACCCATCCCCCTACCTGTATCCCAGACACAGCATGTCATGACCATGGTGATTTGTTTTTTCTCCTTCCCTTTTTTTCTTTTGCTCTGCTGCTTGTATTCTTGCTGTGCTTCTTTTTGACTTTTCTCCCTCCCCACAATCTGGCTTGTGCCATCCTGCCCCTCCCCTCCTTCCCCTGTGACTACACTAACAGCCGTTGCCGGGAGATGGATGAGCAGATCAGACTGATGGACCAGAACCTGAAGTGTCTGAATGCTGCTGAAGAAAAGGTACTAACTGTTGCGCCCATAGAAAGGGTGTGCGTGTGCTTGCGTGCGTGTGCGTGTTTGTGGTTTTGTTTTGTTTTGCAGCTGCCTCCCCTCCACTGGTTTGTTTGACTAGTCTTCTCATCTCTCTCATGGAATGCTCCATTCTTTCCCACTGACTTGGCATCCTTCACCTCTTCCTTCCTAGCTGCTTTACTGCCTTTCCACAGGGCCTGTCCTTCTCTTGGGGGGATTAGGGATGGTTGGCTGGGCAGCAGCTCCCATCTCCACCCGGGCAATGCTGTGCCTTGTTCCTGAAAAAATGTCCAGTCAGGAGCATGTCTTTTAGGGGTTCTTCTCTTACATCATTAGTCTTTCAGCATACTGGGTTCCAACCTAGAAGGGGTTAATCTTCCCCTGTGCTGCTAGTAGTGTGGGGGTGGGAAGAATGGGACTGTTCAGAGTTATCTTGGCACTTCTTTCCCTTGGTGACTTCTCAACCCTCTCTACCTATAGATTCACATCTGTGTGTCTCTCTCCTCTTTGTTTTCTTCCCTTTTCCTCTCCTGCCTTCTTTAAAACATCCACAGTAAGTGTTCTGAGCTGGAGGAGGAGCTGAAGAATGTCACCAACAACCTCAAATCTCTTGAGGCTCAGGCGGAGAAGGTAGGGGCTGGTTTGTGAAAGGGACAGGCTTGGGGCCTGGGCCCAGCCCTACCATGTGCATCCAGCAAGAGAAA